GATTATGTTTTGATTTTTTTTTTATCTTTTTTATAAGAGAATCAATAAAAAAAACTAAAGGGAAAAAACCAAAAAAAAAAGGAAAAAGAAGAGAGAAGAGAATTAGATAAATCAAATTGAGCATTAGTTTAAAAAATAACACATCAGTTTAAATATAAAGATTAAAGATAATAATTTTTTTTTAAAAAAAGATAAAAAATCAAATCATAATCTACAGTCATTTTCTATCAATTATAAGTACAATCTACAGTCAAAGTAGCTGTCGATTATGTTTTGATTTTTTTTTATCTTTTTATTTTTAATTTTTTTACTTTTAATTTTTATATTTAAATTGATGTATTATTTCTTTAAACTAATGGTTAGTTTGATTTTTCTAATTCCCTCCTTTTTTTTCTTATTTTTTAGTTTTTCCCATTTAGTTTCTTTTTATTGATTCTCTTATAAAATTTTTGGTTTTAAGGTTAGTAAGAATCTTTTTTTTTTTTAGGTTATAATTAATTATTGAAATTATAGGTTTGATAAAAAGAATGATGTGCTATTTCTTTACAAAATATTATATTGTATTTTTGTTTTCGTTTTACTATAAAATTATGTTAGATTTTTTTATTAATGTTATATATTTTGTTAATATAAACTCTAATACTTTATAATTAAAACTAATTTAAATTATGAAATATATACTAACTTCTCATCTTATAAAATATATGTATATCATATAGACTAAACATGCCATAATCGACAACATTGCCTATACATAATTGACAACCATTTTTCTGTGGATTATAATTGATAGAAAGACTATCAATTATATAAATTATCGATTATATTAATTAAAATCACAGATAATTGACAAATCATTATAATCGACAAAAAAAGATGTCTATTATAGTAGTATAATCAACAGAAACATGGCTGTCAATTATAAGTTTGTCATTTATACTATGTTTTCTAGTAGTGTATGAAATTATATACAAATGATCATAGATAATTTTATATTATTTATGTAAAATCATCAATAATAAAAACAAGATGAAAATTTTACATCAAGTGGAAAAAGGAGATACACTCAAAACATAGTATAACAGAGTATAAAAAGTAGTAAGAAAAAACCTTTAATCTTCTTCTATCTATTTAATTGGCTTGATCGCAGTTTTTGTAGAATTGATGTTGTGTATAATATTTTAGTTTCTTTTTTTTTTTTTTTGAACGTATTTTACAATGGCAGATTTTGAACCCTACCGAGAGAGGAAGAATGCACCGTGACTATGCCACTAGGCCTCAAAAACCAGTGCATTTTAGTTTCATTTTTTAAAAATGCTGAAGCATAAACTTGTATACAAATAGTAATAGATAATTTTATATTTATTTCTGTAAAATCAACAATAATAAAAA